TATATAGATCAACAGTTTAATGTCTTATTAACCATTTCCCAAAGTATTAGTCCTGAAAGTGGTCAACAAATCATTTATTTAACGTTATTTTGATAGTTAATTCTATTAAACAATGTATGCACAATTAACTTAGAAGGGCAATTACTAAAGATCATGTTCATCTTGACTCTAAGGTTGCCATACTTTCACTTTCCAATAACTTAGGCTTGAAATATCCAATTTCAATGAATGACCCCTAATTTTAAAGATGACATACACTCAGGTATCTGGAAAATACCAATAACGTGATTTTCAATTTTTGCTACAACTTAGTCATTTTGCCACAACCTAATAATAATTCAGATATGGAGGAAAAAGCAAAGGGTTATTTCAATTTGCAGGAAAGTAAATGATCACTGTTTTCCTTTCATTTTCATCCAACATTATTAAGAAACTTACACCTACAGAATACAAACACAACATTAATGTCAGGCTCTGGATTTGCAATGCAAAAAGCAATAAAATTCAGCGGATTTCAATCTTATTTCTTACTGTTCATGTTTAAAAAGCATTCCATTCTTCCATTCCTGACTGTTATTATATTATATTGGTGATCAAACTAGCAAATAAAGTCTAAAAATATAAGAATCTTTGTTACCATAGCAACTATCGTAGTAGGTTCTGTCATGATGTTAACCTTTTTATGGTGGCGAATGTAGTACATAAACCACCCAGGACAATAACCACCCGGACGAAAACCACCCCAAATGGAATATACCATTGTTAAAGTGGGGTGGGCAGTGACTCTGACTTGCTATTATATGCTTTTAATTCATTCAAATGTTTTGACAACATGGATATGTAATCATTGTAGATTTCATTAATCACTATGCTTTAAAATTTGCATTTTTTAAAATGATTTTAACACAATAAAAACACTGTCCACCCAACATGGTCCACCACACATTCACAATGGTATATTCCATTTTGGGTGGTTTTTGTCTGATTTCCTCCTCTTCCATGGTGACGCTGCTACGATGTCTTCCAATGACAACTGATCGGCTTCAACATTCCGATTTTCAGTGCCAATTAGAGAAGCCATTTTTCCAGGGTTACTATGGTTGTCCATCATATATGCACTACCCTACATAAGTTGTTTCAAAGCTAACAAAATACTGGGGTTTAATTTAGAGAAACTACAGACTTGCAAGGAATGGCAAAGCTAAAGTATGTTGCCCTCTGGGCTTAATATTAGTCAAATTTTATGTTTAAATTTGGAATACTACTGTTATTGAATTATATTTTTCTAGGTCAAACTTTTTTTTTTTTTGGAATGACTTTTTTTGAGCAGATAATTTTTAAGACTTTTCCCAATTTACTAGTACAGTAGAACCTCGATTTTACGTACGGTACGGGACCGGAGGGCGTACGTATTCGTAAAACAGACGTTGGGTTAAATTTGTGGTAACCTTTGACCTAATACGTACATAACACTCAATATATGTATGTATGAACGAACGATGTTACCTAGCTAGGCTAGACCTAGCCTCTAGGCCTACGAATAAAACCATGTGTTTAGTGTTTTTATTCATCACTTTACGATGTCATAATAAAGTGTTCAAATAAAACCATGTGTCTAGTGTATTAATTCATCACTTTATATCTTTTATTTAACTAAAACTTGAACATGAAAATATTGTAAGATTACCTATACGACAAAGGTATAACTTGGGAATTCCTCTTCATGCTTATTCTAAACAACAGAGCTGCGGCGTTGTCTGGACCTGTTAAGACAATCTAAACCCATGTGCATTGCTCTGGGTAAGACAACCAATTAGCGTTCGTGTACGAAACTATGCCTACTCAGCTTCGTGTAGAAAATTTGACCAGGCAAGTTTTTCCATGGTTTGCCACATGAAGCTAAGGAGGAAAGGAATTATTTTGAGCACCATCGGTAGTTGTTCATCCCACTCAGTTCACATGGTTTTAGATTATATAACAACCCGGTATTAGACTCAATCAACGTTGCTGTTTAATGAAAATACGTTGCATTATGGTTTGTTTATTGTTATAGTTGCTCTGAAAAGGGCCGTTTGTTTTGAATATTTTCGGGGTTTTTGATGACGTCATCATCCTTAAAGAGACCCGCCCAGTGGGCTGATCGGATCGATGATTCACAGCATGAAGATTCACATATGGCCAGAGACTCTCGCTGCAAAAAATAACTCAAGTGAGCGGTCTTCCTTGTGATGGGTGTGTTTGGTTGGATTGGTTGTTGTTGGGCAAAACTAACCTACGACATCAAGAAAGAAAGTTTAGGCAAAGGCTGGACTAGCTCGAGGTAAAGGCCAAAATCTAGGCACCTATGCCTACTATATAACTAAAATTTAATTAGGTACGTGTTCCCTTCCCTCTGATGATCGAGTAATGTCTGATTGATTTTTTCACCGGAATATTATAGGCCTAGTTTTGGATAGCCCATTGTGCGATGTCATGTTCGTTCTGTTCTTCATGCACACGGGAATCCCCATGTATAATCCCAACCCCTCTCCCCCCCCCAAAAAAAAAAAAAACCCGGCCTCATCAATTTTTTAAAAAAAAGAGTACAGCTAATGGAACAAGTAAGTAAGTAACCCCCCACCCCCCCCCCCCCCCCCCCAAAAAAAAAAAAACCCGGCCTCATCAATTTTTTAAAAAAAAGAGTAATAATCTAATAATATTTTCTATATGCCTTAAAGATAATAAACTTGGTTGGTTGATGATTCTGATTTATTTTCTTTGTGTAATTTACATTCTGTTGTATGCCGATATTAGTCATGATGTGCCTATACTGTATATGTTCATGATGTGACGTCATCATACCAATAATTAATTAGGCATGCTACAGGGCTTAAGTGTAAGTGTACCCGTAATTCAAAACTAGTGTATAAATCCAGAATTTGGTATCCGTATGTCTGCGGGTCTTATGTTTCTCATATCGATTTCTAGAATATTTATGTACAAGTAATTTACTAAACCATACAACAGTAACATTACAACCTGAAATGTTATTCCTATATTATATTTGGAATGTTAATGATTTTAGTTTTCTTGCATTATTATTATCATGTCATATGTTTATACTGTGTAAATCTAATTTAAATAAAGTAATACTCCATATAAATAAAACATATTAATTTCCTACAAAATACAAAATCAATGTTAATGCATCAGTAGTAAAATCTAATAATACTGAACTATGTATAAACCTAAAGAATTACATCTGTCACTTCAATTCTTTCAAGTAAATGCCTCAGAAAAATTAACAGAATGTGCATTGTATATTGATGGCTTGTGTTAAGAATCTAGTGGTACTGAACCTGTCGGTGTCTTTTAAAAGAAAACATTCTATCTATTTATAAGTATATATTCTATGATATAGTATGTAGGGTAAAGGTTTAAATATAATTAGAGTGTTGTTTTTACAAGATACTCAACTGTTAAAAAAAAAAAAATTAAAAAACAGATCTGTGTACTTAACCTAGTTTTACAAACCTTCTCCCAGATCATAACACTGTGATACTCCGCTTTATATTAATGATGAATGGGCAGTTTTTTCTTGAGTTATCAAAACAGTAAATTTGGGTTCAATTACAGTTCATACAATTGAGTTCTTACCAAACACATTCATTACTTTGAGATCCCATTCCAAAATAGCTGTATATCAAACTAGATTCAGTTTGACTCGGTTAGAGCCCAATCATACTTAAGAGTTACTTTGGCCCAGGGTCAGCATTTTTTTAGTGTGAACAATCAATAAATGAGCCGACCTAAATTTAGTCCGATTTTTGAGTCGGCTCAGGTCCTGCAATGCAGGACCTGGGAAGGCCTTCGGCCGACCTAACTTCATATCTAAACGTAAGCCAAACCTGAGTAGCCCAAGTTCGCTCTGATTTGCACCGAGTAAAGCTGAGCTGCATTAAATATGGGACTTGGTTATTATGTATAATTATCGTCACCATAATCATGAAGCAAAATGCTACGCTTAAAAAATTGAAAAAGTATAACGACATTAATTAGGTTCATGTTTCGCACGAATTCCATGTGTTTATGCTAGGTTGGGATTTACTGTTCCACCATCATGTAATGCGATCGCCTCGAACTTACTGTCGTGCAATTCATCGACCCGGCCCAAAGGAAAAGCGCGAAGTTTCCTAAGCTGGCCCTGGGCCGACTTAAAATAACAACTGTGAACGGAAAATTTGTTTGAGTTGGCCCTGAGTCGCCCGTATTTAAGGCGGCCATGGGCCGACCCTAGGCCAGCCTAATAAGTGTGATTGGGCTCTTGGAGTGTTGGAAAGTATCTTATCTAGATCCAGATTCACATTTATTAATTTCTTTTCAACAAGTATACTCACGGTTTAGACCAAAAAATGCATCTTTTTTGGACATTCACAAAACAAAACACTCTCAAAATCCTGTATATATGCAATGAGGCATAAGTCCAAATTATGTGACTCTGGTATGTGTTATGGCTATGTTCAAGCGAGACATTTTTATTCTTTGTTTCGCATACTTCTTTTTTTAAAGATTATCAGAGGAGGGTGGAATAAAAATAAAAATTTGTTTTCTTATTCAGCAAATAGTTTTGCCAAAATCATCCAGACGGAGGAAAAAATAAAAATAAAATTTTATTGATGATGTAAAATAGAATAGAAAATGCTTCAAATTTATATAATTAGGAAGAAATATACATATCTTACCTTTGGAGATTTCAAGGCAGTGGAGGGCGTAATAAAAATACGGAAAAACTTATATTTTTTTATGAAATTTCTACTTTTTCGTGGCGGCGGGTGCGCTAATTGGCTAAAAATAAGATTTTATTTTTATTTGAAATCATCAATATTTGCAGTCGGTGGGTTTGCTAAACAAGGTATAAAAAAAGTCTCGCCTTATGAAGAAAAATAAGAAAAAGGATAAATTGTATTTTCTTTTGAAAATTTTTCTATTGTTTTACCTTCTGATATTTTGAGAGAACTCACCTCGTTTCTGAAGCCAGCCTTCCTTAATGATTAAATCCACGGCAGTCATTTTTCACTGGTGTTGTAAACACTTGTTAAACAAGATCATCAAATAAAAAGAAAACAAAATTACAAATACTATTCAAAACAGCAGGAGAAATGCCTCAGACAAAAAGGTGAAATATAGGTCGCAGATTTGATATGATAATCAAGGTTTAGAAACTGGTAAGCCTAGCCTAGCTATTGGTGAGCCCAGCTATTGGTAAGCCCAGTCTCACTCTGAACCAGCCTATTATTAGGCCAAGGTAAAATTCTTCTCAGTGGCGAGTTTGACAAGATAAATTAACTCATTAAACTAGCTTGTAAATACAGCTTGTACATAAATAAGTCAATTCCTGTTTGTCATTCTGTAAGTATAAATGCTTTAGAGATTTTGTTTTATGAACCAAGGTTTTAGCATGAAAACTGTCAGTGACTAAATAGTCATCCGGAATTCGATGAGTTATTTTTCAAAAACAAGGAAGAATTCAATTGCAGAGAATTTGCAAATGTGTGTGCCAATTTAATTTTCAGTATATCACAACCAGTCAATCTCAAACTCTAGCACTTTCTCATTCACTGTCAATTTTATTTGTGTTTATATTCTAATAATATATATTTTTGCAAAACATTTAATTTTAATAAGTAACATACTTTGATAATTAAAGTACTAAAAATGGTATTAAAACCAGGCTCTGGAGGGAAAAATGTTTTTTTATATGTTGTATAATTGATATTTTTTTCCTCACAAGCCTAGCTTTAATTAAAAACAGGTTATAATTATTTCAAGATATTCAAATTTAATACTAAAAAAACAGAGAATATATAATAATCAATACAATATAACATTTTTATATACATTTATCAATAGTTAATAATATATTACTGAATTGTTGAAATTAATACAATTTTTAAAGCAATTAAATATAATAATTATATTTACTGTAACTATTTCTCATATCCACCTAGATAATAATCTTATCTTGCAACACAAAGCCAAGTATCAGTAAGTTTCACAAAACAGATTCAGTATCACATACTAATTGTTAATTACTATATAACAATTAGATAATTACTTTTAATTAATATAATTACCTATTAGATAATGATTGTCCTGGTACAGCCAAAGTCTTCAACAAATTCTGAAAATATTAAAATAATTAAAATTTATAATTTAAATCAATTTTATTTTTAATTTCTCTATAAATTCTGAAAATATTAGAATAATTAACATTTATAATTTAAATCGATTTTATTTTCACTTTCTCTATAAATTCTGAAAACATTAAAATAATTAACATTTACAAAATTTATTTCAACTTTCTATCTTTCTTTCTGTATACTCCTCATACTCAACAGTATTTATGTGCACTGTGTTAAGAAGAACAATCCTATGTTGATCTGGGTGTCCATAGGTAAATAAAAACTTACCAGAACATGCCTTTGATATTAAAGCTAAGTATGCTGATTACAGAAATATACTGTAATTCCTGTACTGGAAGAGGGCAGCTTTCAACTAGGTTTTAGAAGGTGGGATGTGAGACAATCAGTATATTTTTATTTTGAGGATTTTAAAAGCTACAGTTGAGTAAGTCTGCAACCACACCATTGTATCTTGTGATACTAGTCTATAAAGTACAGTACCTGGACACAAGTCATCCATAACACCACAATTACCAATGTCGTAGTCATCTGGGGTCATGGAACTTAATACCCTATTCAGACTAGCATCGCATTGCGACACTCAATCGCAATTCACAATCGTGTGTGGAAGCTCACCAATAAGTCAATAAGTAATTGATATCGCAATTGTTACCTGTTGCGATTGGGTGCTACAATTCGCAATGAATTCCACGGGCATTGATTTGCTGAGGTCAGTGAACATAGGTCTAGCCCGGTGGCGGACTATCTTATCTACTACCAGTAGTGGATCCAGGAATCAGAAACAGAGGGGGCCTAGGGAACTACTTTCCCAGGTGGGGGTCTAGACTACCTCAGGCCCACCATGGTTGGAGGTGAGGCAAGAAAATTTATGATTGAGGCACCTCTAGATGGCTGGAAATAGCACTCTCATACCTAATTTTGAATATAATTTTGAAAAATTTAGGGGGACCCGGGCCGGCTGGGCACCTCTTGAATCCGCCACTGACCGCAACAAGGGCGTAGGCTGGTTTTTGCCTGGGAGAGGGATGCAAAGATTGTGAATGCAAATTTTTTGTGAATGCAGAATTAAAACCCTGATAACTGGTAATTTGTATTTTTTAACAATAGAACTAATTTGCTGCCATTGGGAGAGGGGGAGGTGTATCGAAAACCCCTCACCTCCAGCCCACTGTACACCCACAAGTGGTACTAGTCATTAAACAATAATCACTGTTTTTCATAGTTGCTCTGACCAATGGGACATTGTAATTCTGATAAAACCTCCAAGGACAGTCTGAACTCGCAGGACGAAATGTTTATCTTTTTCTTCACACCAGGAGACTGGTATCTCGTAGGATGTTTTGACAATAGACTTCACAGCCCCAAAAATAGCTACATTACCACAAAATATTATGTGACTATGTCCAGCACGACCCTCTGTGTCAATCAGAACCATCCGAAATAGTATTATTGTGACAATGAAGCATTAATAATACTGTAATAGAGTACTCAGTTACGTTTTGTGTGTGTCTGAAACAAAAGCAGGTCTGTTCTCGCAATATTACTTAAATGTACTCATGTGTCTCGCATACAGAATGAAGTAGGTAAAAGTAGGGAACTCTTAAAAATTACATCCGATGAAAATATTTACAGACAAATGGTTAGGCAATCACATTAGGATTAATGAATTTAATTTTACCAGACATTTTATAAATTGTCAACTGTACAATATATATCCCCCCTCCCCCACCCACCTGGACCCACTATCGTCTGATGCCAAAACAAGGTTGGTTTAGTTCCCCAGTTGAACATGTTGGACTCTTCGTCGGCACATTTCTGGTGCCACTACTGAATTGGCTATATAATATCTTATTGTGATAGCATCACTTACAGGATGAATTTAAATTATTTTTCTCTAAGGAGTGGTGGCTTAGTGGTTTACAAGTTCACTTCCCTAGTACACTCTTCAGATAGCCTGACATAAAATAATTTATACTATTAGTAACTACCCTACAGAACTCTCATACAAATACACCTTGCTGTTAGGTGAACGATACAATTTAAGTCGGTTGGCATTTGATTGTTAAAATACAGAACTTGTAATACTCAACAATTGAAAGGTTCTAATAAAAGAAAAGTATAATAGGAAGTGCAATCTAATGGAATTTGTTTTGTTATATAAACTTATTTATACAGTACACACTAGCCATATAGACATTCTTTCGCTAGATTTTTGTGTAGCTCAATAAGATTGTATCAAAAGTGCACTGAACTGTATTTATTGTAAATTACGTTCAGTTAAGCCAGACACTCATTGTGCCAGATGGTCGTCGGCCAACGCGATTCTGTCAAAAATGCAACGCCCTGACACGCACGCAACGGATAATTTTTTTATGACGCTCCATTCAGAATACCATTAGCAATCAGCAGTGCGTTGCATCGTCTCTCACGGGGAGCATAGTTGGATTCGTCGGTTGACGGTCGGATGACCATCGTACGAGTCAGTGAATGTCTGGCTTTAATGGAAGTCCCATATTCATTACTGTACATAGTGGGAAAATCTGTTAGCCCATTGTAGTAAGCCTCAGCACTGTATGGTAGGTAGGGTGACCAGTTCCTTTCAATGCCACATTTTTAACCTAGTATATTTCAACCCCAGGTACCAATTTATACTCCCGAGTAGAGAGAGACAAACATACAGTACGTGACGTGCCTTGTCCGAAGACACAAGCAAAATGACAGCATAGGTTCAAACCCCTAACCTCAAGGTTGAGATCATTATATAATGCAACTGAAATTATGATATATTTATTATTTAACATTTTTAACTGATAATTAGTAAATTTAGATTAATTGATTGAGACAGCAATTATGAAAATAATATTTAAAGATTTTTTTTTTAAACATATGATAAATTACAAAGGGTACTTTGGATAACTATATCCCACAAAAAATTTTTTGGAAAAATTTATTTTGTTGAAAATATGACAGAATTAATTATGTAATGTCCGTGACACATAATTTACATTTTTCTTAATAAATGTTAATTAAATTCTGAGGTGGCCATCAAAAATTTTAAAATTATATATTTTCATATAATTTAATGTATAGACTTTCTGAATAGACCAAATTTAATGTACAAAAGTGAATATGAAATTTTTCATATTGCGTCGCAAATACTGTGAAATGCCCCATTACTATGTAACAAGGGATGCTTGTAGTATCTTGAGAATCTCACACAATGTTTTCACATGAACTCTGGAAAATCCTAGCCAGGAGGCATAAACTTTGTTACATATTTGGAAAATTTTGTAATGTGTGAAAAAGGTCTTAATTGCATTATCTGCACCAATGGTTGTTGTGTGACGATCGACAACTTGTGAAATGAAAGTGTTTTACCAGTACCAAGACCTATTTAATTGTTTAAAATATGGCTTGATATTGGTCAATTACGAACCTTCCTATTTCTAACTCTCAATTTTACAACTTCATTTGCGGCGATGTCATCAAATACGAACGATATTTTAACTACAAAAGCAATTTAAATTGTATTTAAAAATATAAAATATTACATCATCAAGAATATGTTTATAAACAAATAAATTGACATGAAACTTCCTTTAACGCAAGATCAATCGTTTTCAGCCGAGATACTCCATTTTGAGCTGTGTATCTACATACAATACCTGTACTGTACTGTACAGCTCCGTTTCTTCACAGAGGGGGTTGAACCACCACTGAAACTAGTGTCAGGGGCGGATTGGGAGGGGGGGGCGGCCCGGCACCGGCCCCCACTTTTGAGAGGTAAAAAAAAAGAAAAAAGAAAAAAAGAAAAAAAAAGAAAAAACGATAGCCTAGAACGCCTCAAATATTATTTTTGGGCGTCTAAAACACAGAATGCCCCCGGACCTACTTCAGTGTTGTCTCAATCGGCCCAAATGTCGCCACCCTCCCCCAGGGCCCCCCACTCCTTTTGGGCATCTCTGGATCCGCCCCTGAGTGTGGTAAACTAATTCGCGAGAAGAATAATAACACTCATTTTTGCTATTAATGGTCATGTTTTCTTTTGGAAATCAATTAAAATGAATACTTCACAGCCAGTAGGCCTACAGTTAATTTTGGCTTTTATACAGTTAGTATTTTTTTACAGAAAAACTAAGTAAAATCTGAGTCATATTTTGAGACAAATATTTGCTCCCTTGGCAAATCTTAGGCCCACCTAGTCTTACATACTATGTAGCATAGCCCTAGGCCTACTCTCAGCACTGTGATGAGGCTATTAAAATGTGTATATAATTGGGAGATGTGTAGTACTGTTTCACTATACAGGGATCCCAAGTCTCTAAAGGCCACTGATATTGTGCTGTAATGATGATTTTTAAGTAAACTTCAGGATTGAGTAAAAACAGGGTGAAGAGAGGAATAAAGAGTTTGAAAACACACCATAATACTAAGTAACACAACCTTACTACATTTAAAATGCATCACATAGTTACATAATAAAACCATAATATTATTGTTTTTGTAAGCACTGCCCTCTATCAGAGCTTACAAAAACAGATCAGAAATCCACTGTCTGCCATTTTGTCCTTTTTGTGTTCAGACAACTAAATAGTAATCTGGCTTTTAATTTGAATACTTGATAACATAACATTACTGCACCTTAAAGCACATTAAGTTGCATTCAATTTATAATACATTTTAATTGGCAATTTTAGGTTGCTATGGAGATAATGTCGTTGAAAGATACCTAGGTGATGATGCAAGGTCAATTGGTGAATTGGAAATTGCCCAAGATGAGTACATTCAGTCATTTTATTGAGCATTAAAGTTGCTAAGATGAGACTGTCTTTTTATACCTTACTTAGTGAACCTGCCCGCCACCCACCAATAATGATGATTTTAAATAAAACTAAAATTTTATTTTCGGCAAATTGACCATCCCATTACTACACTGTTTTATTAAACAATGAAATTTTATTTTTATTTTCTCCTCCGTCATTTGCTAAATAAGAAAACAAAATTTTATATTTATTTATTTTCCGTCCTCCGACGAAAATAAGTTCGCAAAACAAGGTATAAAAAATTCTTGCCCAACCCATCAATTTTGAGCCTATTTATATTTGCAATTTCCATCTAAAGCCCCTCTCCCACTAGGGGTTTTTTCAGCATACGAGTTACAAGACAACTCGGCAAAAACTCGTAGGACAATTCAGAAAGCTCGGAGAGGACTCTTACCTACTCGTAGCAGCTCTGAACTCGTGGCGCTAATTTTGAACATGTTCAAAATTATTGCCACGAGTAGATAACTCGTAGTAAACTCGAAGAACTCGCAGGTAGCTCATAGAATACTCAGGGTACTCCTACCTAGCTCGTACACTACTCTGGATACTTGTCGGCAGTTTTGTCATCTAGGAGTTTGATGCGAGCACCCCGAAACGAGTACGAGTAAGTACGAGCGCACTGAGTTGGCTTGTACCTAACTCGTATCTAATTCGGTACAAACTTGTTACGCTCTTAATAATCTCGTAGTTAACTCGGTGCTCTGCTGGGCATAATTCGTACATAACTCGTAACCAACTCCATAAATTTGTACCTCACTCGTAGCTAACACGTAATAAGCTCGTATAGGCCCTTCCCAAAGATCACAAGTTTTAACTCGTAGAAATCGTACGACTCTTAGGTGAAATAAACCTAGGTGGGAGAGCAGCTTAAGGAATGTTTTTTGACCTTCTTCAAAAAATTAAAATGTTTTCTCATTTAGTGAAATAAAGGCCAAAATACAGACAGAGGGAAATATCAAAATACAATGTTATTGATGAACAAAAAATGCTAGTGTATGGGCTGAAAAAGAAAGAGTGTCCTATGTCTAATGGGACTCCCTACTTTACTGCCCGCATCTTGTACTCACATAGTACATGCCGGACTACCGCGGTTGAGTAATCATCGTAATGTCGCTCGACCAAGGACACAGATAGGCATTCGGCTAGACTTCTAGGTTTGACCGACCTCATCGAGACCGGAACCTGTCAAGGCAGGGGCAGGTCCTATGTCTCACGCCCGAACGGCCGTTCCGTGGCAAAACAACGGAACTTTAAATTTTCACTTTTGGAGAAAAATAGAGTTAAAATTTGCATGTTTGTAACTTCGCAATAAATTGTCGTAGCATTTTGAAATTTTGCAGGATTGTATATCTATAGACATTGTGATTAAATTAAAAATCTTAATTACAACCATTTGTTTATTGCAAAGTTATTAGCGATAATTACAGATATGTTGTTTTGCCACGGAAACATGTCAAGCTCAGTATTGTTGCAAGTGCGACATATTTTTTTGGAATTTATCACGTTTGGGACAATCATATGCATTCCCTAGCCTGTTCATACATCGCTGTTCTAAGATTATTGATATAAAAACACCAATAACCATTTGATTTTGCCTTGCCAAACTCCACAAAGGCATAATAACATTGAGTCGTACTATTATAACTAAAGCTGTATTATAAAACTTTAGTTGCATACGTCACAGATCTCCAACAAAGCTTTGTGTGTTGGGAATGAAGGTTTTTATTTACCTCTACCTTCTCTTCTCTTGACCCATCATGTCTTGATGATGAGGCACTGGGCCTAGGCCTACTACTAGGCCTAGGCTAGTAAAAGTATTAATGAGACCGCCTGAATGAATGTAGGAATTTAGCCTAGTACAACACTCAAGTGATAAACATCAACACAAACATAAATATTCATACTGAACGAAAATATAAAACAGCATTGCGATAGAAAGATAATTAGTAATTCCTTAATTGTAGAGTTTGAAAAAAAATCTTTTGGTTTAGTTATAGGCCTAGTCAGAAAGAGAGAATGGGCATTCTGGTTGCTTAGTGCCACAGATAGAGCAGGCATTCTCTGCACGAACGAGTGAAACGCATCCATCTCATAGTAGTAATACACGTTCAATTCTGTTTACAGCACAATTCTAAGCCTATTCAAATATCCTAAAAGAGTAAATCATAATACTTGCCCTTTTAAGAAGAACATACGTCTTCTTGATTTAAAGACAGCTAGGTAACCATACGATAGTCCCAAAATATTATACAGGCCTATTTACCTGTCCAGCATTGGGAGGATATCTAAACCGAGGGCACTTCCTCCTTTGCTATCCCAGTGTACAAGTCATAGTGACGTCATATCATGGACAGGCCAAGGTCATCAACATACCGCCCTCTTTTTCTACATACCTTGTTAAGTGGCTAGTACGTCAACAAAATGTATCGCCGATGTGTGATTTGAAGTGCCAATGGCATAAGCGAAATATTACACACCTGAATGCAACTGAAAAACAATTAATATTAACCTTGTTATCAATAGCATATTTCTAATTGATTATAAATAACTTGCAATGTAGCACAAGCGAAGAAACATGTCAGTTTGATAACAACAACAGATAATTTGTTAATGATGCTGTTTATTACCGTACTATATCGTCATCATTATCATTTAAATTTTATATTTTCATAAATGGCAAATATATATAATTATAGGCCTAAATATATATATAGGCCTATATATTGTATTGTATTCTTTGTATTCTATGCTGTGACACCTTCGAGAGAACAACGTGACAGTGGCACGTGTAGGCCTACATTTGGTTCCGTTTCAACTCTCTTTGATTTTGCTCTTTGTAATTCTGATGTTTACATTTTTGTATAAATTTTAACCCGAAATAAATTTGAAATTGAAAATCGTTGTCATCATTTTCATCATCATCATCATTTTCATCATCATCATCATCATCATCATCATCAACAACAATAACAACATCAGCATCAAAAAGAAATGGAATCTACAGTAAAGCTAAAAATTTATTCTAAATGATAGTTAAGATACCTTTATTATTATCCATAATAATTATTAATAATACATTTTCATCTACTAATAAGGATGGATTGGTACAAACGACCTTATGAAAAATATATCGCATTCCCCGATTTTACGCTTATAAGCGTCGATATAGTGCTCCCTCACGTTATTAAACAAGGTAATGACAGCAAAGATACAGTAATATTATAAACCACGAATAGAAGTACCGGGCTTAATCTCGAGAAGCCGGAAAAGAAGCCCCCCACCAATCTTCAGTTTGCAAAAGTAATCTCGAAAAGAAGTCCATGGGCTTCTAATAAGATAACATGAGCTTCTTTCGAGAAGGTATGGCTATACTCATCCAGACAGACTGACGTTATCTTTGGTGATCATGATAGCGTGTCGGTATTAATAGTATTGTATTATACTCAACTCCAACATGGTTAGAAAAAAAAATTAAACATAATTTTGAATTCCTTAGTTGAAAAATGATATATCGCCGTCGAGCACTTAGGCATTCAATATACATCGAAGAGTGCGCTATCTTTAGTATTTAGGTTTGCTAATGAACATAGATATGTTATAAAAAGGGCATGCAATCCCCTAACACCAATAAGGTTGGACTTAGAGACGAGGAGTTGCGTACAGTGGAGTATAAAAAATAGAATCCCAGTAACCCCAAAAATCACGCTCAAGTTGTTAAAAATCACCACACCTTATTTTGCAAGCTAGCGCCCCTCCCCCATTACCTATCCCCACCTCACCTTCGCGACCCCCATCAGCCCCCGCCCCCACTTCCAGTTTGAAAACTCTTTGCGGACGAGAAGAGTAACATTTTCAAAGCCTCCACGTTACCCCACATATTTTTAAGGGGAATTGGTATTCCAACTTTCCGACCGCAGTGTAATTTGCCTGAATTGAAAATTGAATGATAACACGTCCCAGAAGAGCGTTCTGCATTCAACACAATCTTACCTTGTAAATTGCAACTTAAGTTGAAAAATCTTGGTATCGACGGGTCTCTTTGTGACTGGATATCAGAATTTGCTAGGGAGACCCCAAGTAGTTAAAATAGGTTAATTAATTTCTAATACTGTACAATAATAATACGGATACGTGGCTCGCCAATTCTTTACTCTCTTTACACACATGACTTTAGTCTCCTTCTCAGAATGCCTTATCGTTAAATTCGCTGATGATACTACCGTGACTGGCCTTATTCAGAACAATGATAAGCATTAGTTATCGCGCACAAGTTGGAACAACTAGGCTAATTGAGTGGTGTAATTATAACAATCTTAAACTAAATGTTGCAAAAACTAAAGAAATAATTGTTGACTTTCGGAAAAAACAAGATATAAAAGAACCACTAATCATCCAGAATTCTACTTTTGAAATAGTCAATTCCTTCAAATTTTTGGGTACATCACAAATGATTTCAAATGAGGGAAAACGTTCATCAGTGTGTGAAAAAGGCACAGCAGCGACTTTATTTTCTACGTAGATTGAGGTCCTTCGGGAGTAGTACCCCCGCGAGCGATGAGTCAATTCTATATAAGTCAGTGATAGAGAGCGCTCTAACGCTTTTTGTCACGGGGAGAAGGAGAAGGAGGACCTAAATAGGACCTTCCAGTGTGACCACTCACAATTTTTTATATACCCAATGTCTGGGTCGAAATTACCCAAGATTCAGCAAAAATTGCCCAAAATTACCCAAGCTTCCTGAAAATGCATTAAAATTTGAAAAATACGTGTTTTTCGCATGTATAGTTTCCCTTTTAGTTCAATTTATAAACCAATTTTTTATTGTAATTGTTTGTGTTAATTATTAAAATTAATATTCATGAGGTGATAATACAGATAGAAAAATAGGCCCTCAGTCGGCCAGTGTTATCAGTAGATCAGTGAAGTTTTATTATGTAATGCATTAATTAGGCAAGATCAATGGCAACACAAATCACAAATAAACAATTCTGAACCCATGTTTATAGCAATTAACAGTCAATTAACAATGTTATGTGCATTTCGTTGAGTTTTGCTTACTTGAATCGACTGAAATATACTTCGTTACTTCTTAATTCTTCCTCTATGACAAAAATATTTAATTTTCTTAGTAAAAATAAAATACCCAAGGATTTGAATGGAATACCCAAGAACCCAAGACCAAGTCAAAATACCCAAGATCTTGGGTAAATACCCAAGCAGTGCTCACGCTGGGACCTTCTAAACACGAACAAAATACTCTTCACCCATATGTCAAAGTTCATAGGTCAAAGGTTCAAAATGTTACTAATGGCAAACGATTAAACCGAATTCAATTAAATTTGATCATTAAGAACCAGTGACACCCCCTACACCCGTCTGGCATCAGTGGTTACATAGGGGTTTATCGGGGGTCAATTTTTTAAAATAGCCCAATTGAGCTCGAATTTACCAGGAATGATCCTTAGGACCT